TTTAAATTTTAATTCTAGTCTATTGTATCTCTCACTGCTAGTAGTACGTTAGTGTGTGTGTGTGCGCGCGACGTCGTCGTGTACGAGAGAGAAGTAACTAACGTTACCTCCTACTACTCTCTCTCTCTCTCTCTCTCTCTCTCTCTCTCTCTCTCTCTCTCTCTCTGAAAATCTCTTTTATTTGTTATCTAAATCCAATGACAGTTTGCAATAAAAAGAAAACCACATATGCTTCTCATTTTTTCAATATCTCTTTCTCCTTGACATGTTATTCTATTTATCAAATCCAACAACAAATTTTGCCAGCAAAACACATCTTCTATATGTTATCCATATCCAATGACAAGCTAGAGAACAGCAACAGAAGGGGAGAGATTTGTTTTCTTTAACTATGTGTACATTAGGAAATTCAATAGTAACCATCTTAAAGTTAAAACCAGAATCTCCCATCAAATTAAGAATTCCATGACTCAAAGTAGATGGCCACCTTGACAAAACTGGTAACTATGTAATAAGAAGATAGATCTAAACTTCAAATTAAAATAAAGTTCAATATAGAAATAAAATAAAATTTATGATATTTCAATAGAACATTTAAAGTATTTATGTGAGAAACAATGGATGACATTTCAAAATAAATAAATAAATAAAAATAGTAATATCCTAATTTTTCATATAATAAGATAATTTTCAATAAGCAAAATTCATATTATTTTTCAGAGCATCGCAGACACTGTTAGCTAGTATACATTAAGTTCAATGATAAAGCATAGCATACAACTGTGTGAAGTATATGGTATACCACAAGGAATCCGCATCCATCCCCATGACAGCTAGTCATAGATTAACTGTAAGTTTCAAATATGGACATTCATATAGGGACAGTTAATCTACACCTTCTGTCAAATTGAACAGACAGCAGATGACCTAGAGATGTAGCATGTACCCTACAAATAATGGGGATATAATATGATTTCCCAAGTCCAATCAATTCACAAGAGAAAGATATTTTATAATTCTATAGACTACAGGAAAAACATAGTCCATTCGATCACCACAGTTCATTTCAATGTGATGGAGAAGGAAGACCCATCCATTTCTTCAGAAAAAAACAGAGGCGAAGCCATTAAGAAGGATAGCACCCAAATGATGGGTCTACTTCTCCACTATCACCCATAATTTCATTAGGCAATGATGACCCCAATGGGTGATGGTTTCCCACTGTCCCTTGATATATAATATAATATGCTTCCCTTTACCATCATTTGTATTTTCAAACGATACAGATAGATCAATGGTTCTTGGCCAATTGTAGTTAGAGAATACCTTTCCTGTAGAAAATAAGTCCCCTGTTCGAAACCCTTTGTTTAGGGTTTCAAGCACAGCTGTCTCAATTCTTTGGGCAGCCTGCTCTTGCCCTAGTCCATATCTCAAAAGCATTGCAGCACTTAACACAGTCGCTAATGGATTTGCCTTGTCCTGCAAAATGCCATAGAAAGAAAAGGGAAAGTGAAGAATAAGATCTTTTGCCTTTTGTACAAGAAATAGCCCTTGCTGTCGAATGTGAAATCGAGTAGCTGGGTGTGTACAACTGGACGAAACCAAAATCCAATAATTTTTTTCTCAAACACTGCAAAAACAAATGACACACCCCTAGCCACAGGGTTTTAAATCTGATATCAAAGGTAAACGGTCTTTACTATATACAATGCCCAGAGACAAACACCCCTACAAATAAAGAAATTTGTATGCTAATATATATCACATAGTGGGATATTTGTTAACCTCCACAGTTTTTCAAATGTAAATTACCCCTATCCTCTGTTGGAAGACATGGTTTAGAACAGTTACATTTTGTATCATTTTCCAAGGGAAAAACAGATAATAACATGAAAAGAATGGGCAATCGCATTGGGCTCACCACACATTTATGGTGCTGTCATCAGCCCCTATGGGGCATGAAATTTGTGCTAGCCTGACAGATAAGCCTACGATCTGAATGACATTTTTTATGTTACCCCTTGGCAAACATTGAATCTTACATCCATCCAAAAATGATTGCAGTAAAGGGCAGGGGTAGCATACATCTAAAAAATATCAAGAGGGCAGAGAAAATTACAAATGCAGAGTCCGCATGCATTACTCTCTCCAGGTAAGAGGAGTTCTAGAGATTTTCCTATAGATAAGAGAAAATGTAGAGATTTTTTTTTTGACTAAAAAATAGAGATATTTCAAGAATAGAGACATAAATAAGAGGGAAAATAGAGGTAGGTGAAGAATTTGACCTGTCCTGCAATATCTGGAGCAGAACCATGAATGGGTTCAAACAGTCCAGGTCCCTAAAAGCACAAATGTGAAGCAATTTAGATAATCCCTTAGAAGATAAGTTTGATTGACAAGAAAAGAAAATGATTGAGGTTGTACAATACCGATTCACCAATACTAGCAGAAGGCAGCATGCCAATACTTCCAGTAAGCATTGAAGCTTCATCAGACAAAATGTCACCAAAGACGTTGTTTGTTACAATTGTATCAAACTGCAGGTTTTGGACAGATAAAAAGAAAGCCAATGGAGATGAGAATTCAGTAGGCATTCACTACCCTCATCACTCCTTCCCTCCATCCAACCATCAAGGGTGCTCTCATCTTTTTACATGAAAGGATAATAGTACTTTGTGATTAACAATAATTCTTTATTCCACATTTTACAGCATCATCAAAATTGTCACCTTCTTTTTCTGTTTTACATCACGGCCACCCAACTGTTTTTTTTTTTTTGAACCTGCACTGCCACCCAACTATTTATGCCACTCTTTAAAAATTTCTACCACATGCTCCCTGAATTATTGTGCTCCTGTGTCCATTTTCCAAGCCCGTTTCCATAGTTCTCTCTACCTTACCCCAGAATCTCTCTCCGTTATCTACCGCAAGATTTATATCTCACTTCTTTTCTTTATTGAACAGATCTCTCTCTCTCTCTCTCTCTCTCTCTCTCTCTCTCTCACACACACACACACACACACACAAAGAAAAACCCAAAATCCCCTTCTCCCATTAACTCTTATCTATCTACACCAAAATTCAAAGTATAACAAAGAACTAGTGTTGGAGGTTGCTCACTTTAATTGGAAATCCTTGTTGATAATTTAAGATGATTTAATTGCGGATTTACAAAAGAGACTAATCTTGTTCTAATTCACAAAGTGCATTCAAATAAAGGTAATGGATGATTTATTTGATGAAGCATATCCAACTCAGATATAGATCTGCCAGAAACTATGAAAAAAAATGGATACAAGCCTAGAACAAGTGTGCCTATCATAGAAAGATATCGCACAATGAACAGAAGAAGGAAGAAAAAAAATTAGAGCAAGAGCCACAAGGACAAGAAGCCATGGGGTAAATGCATGAGAGAGAGAGAGAGAGAGTGGTGGTATGGAACAGTGTCGGGAGACAGAGCAAGGTATTGTGGAATCCAGGTTGGTAGAGACAGAGATATTGGTGCTTTTGGGTTTATAGAGATATTGCTTAGCAAGTGGGCTAACAGATTTGAGTTTCTAGAAAGAGATTGTGAAAAACAGGAAAAGAGGATTTGAGAGAAGAAGATGCATTTTAAAAGAAAATCGTGTCAAATTTTAGAATATGGCACCCAAAAGCAGTGCAATTTGGAAGATATAGAAAAGAAAGGTCACAGAAATGAGGTTTCCCCTAAAAAAGACAACAATCCTTTGCAATTTGTCAGAACCGGTGTCCATGATAATCTACAATGTTCTCTTAAAAGGGATGGTATAGTGTCCAAATCATGTGGACCCTCAAATGGTTCACAAGCACCCTACAACAGTTTAGATTAGAAGGAAGAACATGGATGGTCATGATTGTATCTAGTATTTAATTTTACTTTTTCTTTTTGCGAATTAGATTTACATGAATTTCAGAGATGTGTGCCCGAAATCTAGGTGTAACTAAACAAAATTATAAATAAATTAATAAATGACCAAAATACCCCTAATGGTTTAGGAACATTTTAGCCAATTTATTTTTCACTAATCATTTTTTTATATTTTTTAGGTGAACCTGATTGAAAAGTGTGATGCCCAATATTTCAAATTAATCCAATTTGTAGAAAAATTATTAGAATTAAAACATCATTTTGGTCAATTTATTTTTTGCAAATCATTTTTTTATATTTTTTAGGTGAACCTGATTGAGAAGTGTGGATGCCCAAAATTTCAAATTAATCCAATTTGTAGAAAAATGATTAGAATTAATACATCATACCGAATCGTGGCCGTCCACTTTCTTCCTTTCTAATCTGAACAATTAAGAGCGTGCTTGCTCATCAAGCAATCAGATCATGTGAATGCTCACTTTCCCTCTTCAAAATGGCAAGCATTATTTTGTAGTTTTGACATAAAAAATTTTAAAAAGAAAATAAAAGGTGATAATTGAATATGTAGGAATTAGGAAAACCTGCTTAGGATCACGTATAAGTTGCATTGCAGCGTTGTCCGCATACATGTGAGAAAGCTCAACATCTGGATAATCCGAGGCAATCTTTGTCACCCTTTTCCTCCAAAACATTGATGCCTATACAAAAACAACATAATAGGATTATCATTACATGCAGACAAGCTGATGATCTACGCTACTAAGCAGGACAACAATAGTGATGACCTAAATTATGAATTGATAAAAAATAATGTGAAAGAGAAGGCTCACTGTGCATGATAATTTATTGACCAGGACCAAGAACATTTGAGGAGAACACAGGTGTAAGCACAAAAGGCAAACCAAAACCAAACTGACAAACCCTGGCAAAGTTAGCCTCCCTGTGATAGAGACTGTTTAACAAATCTGAAAAGCCTACTTATGAATGAGATTTACAAATCCAACATACTGGAAATGTCCCCACAATTCTCCAAAAAAACCCCAGAATTTCTTCCCAAAACCATTCCCAAATTAAGATCAGTTATGAGAGTATGATCAGTAAGTAAAGAATGAGCACTATAGCAGTAAGTTACTATATAATACCAGCAGCAACAGTAATAAAATAAATTTAAAGAAAAGGGAACTAAAAAACTTTACAAAAAGTATGATAATTACAATACCCTCAGAACAGAAACTTAGCAGAAATGCAGAGGATTTTAAGTAGTTCCTCCAATTACCTCCAGCACATTAGCCTTGTCCACAGAACAAAGCTTCCCTCGGCGTTTTCTAGCAATCTCAAATGCAACCCGAGCAATACGATCAACCTAAATCACATAATTCCATTAACCACCTTCTTTGTCAGAAAGATGAGCACTGACAATCCGGATATCAAATTTTTATGGCTAAAAAATCTTGAGGAATGATCCGCTTGGAATCGTTAGGGCATAACACAAAGTGGACCACATGCTCAAATTCCATTGATGTACCACATATTCTAATAAGATGCTTGCAAACATGATAAACATATTACTGGGACCAGCAGGAATAAGAAAAGCAGCTCCATCCCAATGAAATTGACAAAACAAGGTCCTCATATAAATTCAAAAATATTTTGTGCACCTGGCATCTGCTGTTTTTACATGTAAGAATTTCTCTTAATGCAGCACTTCCTGATATGAAAAAAAAAACACAATCCCTATGTACAAAATGCCAACATAACCAATAGGTTCAAACAAGTAATTAACAAAATATGCAGAACTCATAAATGATATAGGAACAATACAAAGAGCATTTGACAACATTATGGCTTAAGATAGTGCTAAGAAAAATGCTAAACAAATAGTAAGTAAAGCTAAACTTAAGGCATATGATAATCTATATAACAAACTGAAAACAAGATAAAGTGAAAAAGATGTCTTCAAATTGGCAAAAATAAGAGAGAAAAAAATGTAGAGATCTAAACCATATTAAATACATTAAGATTGAGGATCAAAAGGTCTTCGTAAAGGATGATGAAGTCAACGAAAGGTGGAGAGTTTATTTTCAAAAATTATTAAATGACGAACACAATGAGAACATAGCGGTAGAAGGACCTCTTAGTATAAATGAGGGCAGAGGTCATAGATACATTCATAGGACTAAGACGACGGAAGTGAAAGAAGCTTTGACAAGGATAAAGATAGGAAAGGCTTTAGTACCAAATGGTATCCCGATAGAGGTTTATAAGTGCATAGAGGCCATTGGCATTGACTGGCTGACAAAATTGTTAAACAAGGTGTTGAGAACAAAGAAAATGCCATACGAATAGAGGAAAAGTATTGTGGTACCTACTCACAAGAACAAATGAGACATACAGAATTGTGTGTAATATCAAAGGAACAAGCTTATGAGCCATGTGTTACGCCGACCAAATACAGCACATATTAGGAGGTGCAAGGTAGTTCAAATAGAAGGACTGAAAAGGGCAGGAGGTAGGCCCCAAAGGATGTGGTTGGAAGTAGTCCGAAAAGATATGGAGACTTATGGCCTCACTAAAGGGGTATGACCTTTAATAAAGCAGAATGACGGACCAAGATCCGTGTAGCCGACCCCAATTAATTGGAAAAAGGCTATGATGATGATGATCCCTTAAGACAGTGCATCACATATTTGCTGGAAAGTAGGTCAGCAAAACTGATGTTGACAATGCCTGCAGCTCGAATTTCAGAGACATCCATGGTAAACGAAGCGTTTTGAAATCTGCATACTGAGCCGAAAAAAAAGACTCTACAACCTAAACTTAGAGCTCCATGTATGGTGGAACTATGTTGAAGAAAAGACGCAGAAAGTTTTATAATAACCGCTAAGTGAGTGATTGATGGAGGGCAAGATTATCTTATTATTAATATTTGCTTAACTTCAAAAGATGTATATTTTAATTTTAGTTTTAAGATCTATTTTATGGTTTTTAAGTTTTTTTTAGGGATTCTAGGGTTTTTTTTTTATATTTTTTATTTACTATTCACTGGTTATTATCCATACATACCATTCATGGGAACGTGTTAATATTCACAGGAGTATTTCTAAAATTTTAGTATTGTATAGGGATATTTTAAAGCTTTAAATGTTTAATTGGGTCTCAAGTTAATTTTATGATTTCATAGGCTTATGAAAGGTTGGATGCCAAATTTTAGGAGGCTTGCGTCATTTGGAACAACTTTCATTTTGTGAAAGAAGAAAATTCTTCTTCTCTTGGCTTGATTTACAGTCATGTTTTTTTCTCCATAATTGCTTATTTTATTTGTTCAAGGTTTAGAAAAAGAGTGGATTTAATCTCCCACATTTCCTTCCTGCACCAAGTGGCATCAGAGCATGGTTCGAAGACGATTAGAGATTGTGATGGCTGGTCATAGAGGTCTCAACCGTAGGGATGTCAATCTAATGCAACTGAGCAAGGAAAACAACTTGACAAAGAGGGTTATAGAGCTCTATTGCTACACAAGTCAGGCCAACAACAACATGCCCTAGACGAAGAGGAATCTAAGATGATAGATTTAAATCGTGAGAGTTTTTATGGAGAATGGCATGAACCAAAGTCCAAGTTTGAGTGGGAATGGACTGATGGAGTGTCAAACTACATGGATCAGTTCAATGCGCGATGGCATTGACAAGATAATAATTTTGAAGAAGAACTTGAGTACAAACTTTTTCACCACCGAACTCCACATGAAATGTCAAGTGAAGAAGAAAGTGATAGAAAACCTATACATGGGGGCCATCACTATATAGTTTTCTATTTGAAAAAGGACAATATTGATTTTGACGTAAGTTGTATCCAAAATCAGCAAGCTGTAAATTGGGATTTAACTCCAATCTTCAATGCATGCTCAAATGGAGAACAAGATCATGCAAGATATCCCATCTGTGATAAAGAAAAAAATTTCGTGGGTGAACCGATCTTTGACGAAGAAAAATATGAAAATCTAAACATATCAAAGATGTGAAACATTTAGAAAATTTAGGGCAATGGAATCAAAGTAGTGAAGTGGAAGCACGGTCGACTCAAAATCTACAAATTGTGGTCCTTGATTCAGTGAGTAATTGAAATAAATATTGAAAAAACCTCTAAAGACCATAAAATTGAGTTTGGAGTAACTTACATGATTTTCAATGAGAGTTCAAGGATAGTCGTACTTGATAAATTTATATTGATTCCTCAATAAACATACAGGATCCTTTTCTAAAAGATTTATTCTTACCACAAATAATCTATGAGCCAGCAAAGGAGTAAAACGTTGAAGAAGGTGGTTTTGAATCTTTTGATGCTGAATTCATCTTAGCACACTTCAAAACTTGAGGACGAGCTTTCTCCAACAAGGGGAGAATGACGGAGGGCACGATTATTCTTATTTTTAATATTTGCTTAACTTCAAAAGATGTATATTTAAATTTTAGTTTCAGGATCTATTTTAGAGTTTTAAGTTTTTAGGGATTCAAGGGTTTTTTTATGTTATTTACTATTCACTAATTACTATGCATAGGGGTAATTTAGAGTCTTAAATGTTTATTTGGGTCCCAAGTTATTTTAGAGTTTCATAGGCTTATAAAAGGTTGGATGTCAAATTTTGGGAGGCTTATGTTATTTGAATGAATTTTATTTTATGAAAGAAAAAGATTATCTCTCTTTGCATGATTTAAGCCATTTTTTTCTCCATTATTGCCGATTTTACTTGTTCAAGTTCAAGAGAAGGGTGGATTTAATCTCCCACCTTTCCTTCATGCATCAATGATGTGTACAGCATTGAAATTCCATTCAAACAAGACATATGATGAAAAGAAAAGCTCCCACTATGATCAGTGTGAGTTTGCTAAAATTTCAAAAAATATCTATTTCAAAAATGCAGCAGCAACAGCTGCTGTTTCAACCCAGAAAACAGGCACCTTTCCAATAAAAAGACAAAAAAAAACACTAGCTAGTTGCTATGGACAATTGCAACACTCCCAAACACTAGCTAGTTGCTATAGACAATTGCAACACTATGTCCCACATTCGAATCCTACTGCTGACGTACCAAAAAAATTAAAAAAAAAAAAAAGGACAGCTGTGGACAATAGAGTTTTGTCAGTTTAAAATTCAAAAAATTACTAAGTGATGATGCCCAATCTGTTCAGGAGACTAAAAGTGATTATCACTGGAACAATCTTGTCAAAGCTGCTTAAGAAAAAAAGCCCACTCCAAGGATTGAGGTGACACTTAAGTACTAAATAGCCAAACAGTGACTCAATTATCTATATGAAAGCTAGCATACGTCCAACTATTCACTTCATGAACAAAAATTTGCACAAAACCACGAGAACTTGTCCTTGGAACGGTATTCTGAATGACTGCAGAATTAATGATTTGGCATGCACATTCAGACTGCTGGGTATATAAAGCAGGAAAAAAGACAAATAGAAACACAAGAAATACATTGTTGCCCATGTAAGGAAAGAATTTTCATGTGAGAGACCATTGTTTCTGCATGAAAACAACTTTGAATAATGAAGTTAATGAAAATAGTCCAGGAAATGAGCATTGCTCAGTTTTATTGAAAGACACTATAAAAACGTGCCCCTTGGCCCTTTGGCCTTGCAAATATATAGTCTGAATGAGGAAATATATGAGTCCAAGTTTTCACATCGCATAAACCAGCTTTTTCATCCTCTCATTTTAATAAACCAGCTGTTTCTGCATTAAAACAATTCTTAGTAATGAAACTAATGAACATTGTCGAGGTAATGAGCATTGCGCAGTTTTATGGAATGACAATAGAGATGTGCCACTTGGCCTCTGGCTGTACAAATATGCAGATTGAATGAGGAAAAATATGAGTTTAAGTTTTCCCATCACATAAACCAACTTTTTCAGCCTCATTTTTATAATTTTTCATAATTCCTCCTTTTCTATAGTTTCTCATACAAAGCAGCTTATACCTAATGGGTAGCGCTTAAGTACTTGATTATGTAGACACAACTGCATTGTGAAATTTCAAACATGTGGAAAACAAAATAAAGAAAGCAAACATACCTCAGAAGAAGAATACACCTCTGTGTTGAAGCCTATTTCTTCACCATTGTCATTTGTTCCAAAACCCCTTGGCTTTCCAAAATAAATTCCTGAAATTAGGCACGAATTGAAAGAAATGAAGCATCAAAGGCAAACCACAACTGCGTGCATACTCAACCGTAAAGCAATATCCAAAACATTTAGGAAGTAGTGCAAGCGGGCTGGGCCAAGGCTGACCGCAACCCACTGGGATCAAAGGGCCCTGACCCAGACCAGGACCAGTCAGGCTCGAAAAACTACAGCCCGAGCCCATCTGGATTTCAAAAAAGAAAACCAAAACCCAGGCCCATTCAAGCCATTCAATATTTCACTCAAAACAAGGGTGGAATAATAAAGAAATTAAGGGGTCATATTTTCATAGAAAATTTTTTCATATAAAAAGAAACATGAGTCCATAAGTTTGATTATGAAATATAAAAAAATCAACAAGTCCTGTTTCAATCACATGCACCAAAATTAATTCGAAAGAGAACAGAATCTGATAAGTTTGTTATTTTCCATATAACCATATAAAAATAAATAATAAATCAAAAATCAAAAATAAAAAAGCATAAAAAAATAAAATAAAATAAAGTAACAGTTTTTAACTTTCATTCTCATATAAACACTCTCCAATGTCTCACATAGTAATATTTACATAATTTATGAAAGCTACCTAAAGTACATTATGGAAATTACATAAATAACATTATTTATGTGTTATATTACATATATTACTTTATGCAACTTATATTACATTACGTACACTTATATGTAACTTGCATATGACAAGGGGATGTCAGGCCTTAGTTCTACGGCCCAGGCCCAGGCCCAGGCACAGCCATTAACCTCACGGGCCTTAATTTAAGGCCCGGTGAGGGCAACCCATGTAGAGCCAGGCCTGCAAGGCCCGTGCTGCTTGCAACTCTACATTTAGGTTCAAATTCCAACAAGTATAGCAAAGATTCAACAGAGTCTCACCTCCAGTGAGTTCTCTTACAACCATTATGTCAACTGCTTCAGCAATCTCCTTTTTAAGTGTTGAAGAATCAGCTAACTGGAACAAGATGGAATAAAATTCACAGTTGAAGTAAGAGAAATTACAGATAACACAAACAACTCTATGTCAAAAGACTCAGATATTTCAAAGTGGCATGCATGCTGAAAGGGCATTGTCATTATCAGAGAACGACATAGTTGTCTTCTCCCAAATCAAACGAAATTAATTTCTGGATACCAATTTGCATTTCATTAAACATGATAATAGAGCTGGCAGACAATCTGAAGTATCTGATTCAACCTAGGTTTGCTTTGGACCCTTCACAAAGTTTTACAGTCTATGAACAAAAGGTGTGCATTAGAAAACCATGTGTAGTCTTCATAAACCAATGTCATTTTTTCTTTTTAGATAGGACAGTGCCCTTTTTGTCGTATTTTGATCATCCTTTTTTCCTTCTGATAGTCAACATAAGACAATGACGTACACATCAAGTCACCCATTATAAAACAAAAAGATGTACATATCAAGTAACATGAACATATATAGAAATTCAAAACAATGAAATTTAAAAGAAACAAAAATATTCATTTTGTTTATCGTCAATTCATTTATGACTCACTTCTAACTAGTTACACAACAATGAAATTCAAAAGAATTAAAAACATTCATCATTTCTGCGTGCACATAAAGAAAATGCAAATCCAAAAAACTCCACACAGTATCAAAATCAGAGGTCAATAAAATAGAACTTATGAAAGAAAGGCAATCCCCAATGGCAACACACATAAGATATTCGAACTCTCAAGTCTTTATTCTAGCCAAATGAAGAATCCAGGTGAATGATAACAATTGCATACGAATGAACAAGCACCTATAAATACCAACTTCATTACTTTTTACAAAGAGGCATAAAATATTTATTGGAGTGAAGTACTTGTGGTAAAACAGTAGCAGGGCGTAAATTGGCAAACACTCCCAGACCAGCACGTAGCTCAAGCAACCCTGTCTCTGGCTTCAAGTGTTTCTCATTCTTGTCCCATTTGTACCTTCACATCCAATCAATCATCAAAGACATACACATGCACTTGTGGACAGAAATGAGATTATACTCAACTTTTGATTAATGAGATCATATTTGATTTTATATCAAAGAATAAATATCATACATATAAAGTGAAGCCACATGCCAGGCAAACAGAAAGACAAAGCATATCCAAACAAACTGTTACCCGCCAATTGCTCCAAGAAGCACAGCATCTGACTGTCTAGCAGCAGATAAAGTTTCATCTGGCAGAGGAACGCCAGTTGAATCTAATGCTGCTCCCCCAAGAAGCACTTCATGGAACTGAAGTTGGATTCCTGGAAACAACATGAACTGTAAAAAATACGAGAACCGCATATTCTATGTTGCACTTACAATAGATTATAAGCAAGCAATGATAGAAGACATTGTTAGGGTTTGTGGCCTTTAAAGGCCCAGAGATCTTGTAAAAAAAATTGTTTATAGTGATTTGTGCACTTCAGTGGGAATATACTAGGGCTGACTAACCTAGGGTTGGGCAGTCTATGGCCTGGATCATGTCCAAAACCCTTATCCCTGGATATGTGGCACTATCATTGAGAGTTTATATTTGGTCATCCCTTGTTGAAGTCGGGGAGATGCCCTAGGCCGTTGTTTATAGTTCAGGAGAGTTGTATAGCCTCCTGTGTGCGGAGAAAAGGCCTGTGAGCGCGAGCGTTCCTCAACAAACGTTCCACATTGCATGTACATATGACAACCAAATATTGGGAAGCAACCTATATAGAGGGACACAAGTACATGTGAATAGCAAGTGCCCCCTTGCACTATAGCGATGTGTACATTTGACTTGCTCTTAAGTGGGAAACTGTAATCCACATGATACGACCATGGTTCTACTGTTTATAAGCTAACTTTGACGGGCCAATCATGAGCCCCTGCACTTGAATGTGGATCATGAGTTTCGTTGGGTTGGTTTGAGAAAACAATAGTGGTTCATGGATGCTGGTACACATGTAGTGCCCTGATATTTACTAGTTATTTGACCCAGGGGTTTAAAAAACGGATCGGTGCCCTAGGATCAGGCACCCCAAAAACCCATCCAGATCAGTGAATTGACGTTTCGAATCGAGAATCAACCGAATTGGTCGGATTTAACCTTAAAAAAATCCAAAAAAATATTAAAAATCATTGTAAATGTTGTTTTTTAGGAATCCAATAAGAAATGAGGGAACTACATTACTAACTTTCATTTTTTTGCATCAATATGCAAATATTGAGATGTTCTTTCCTTGTATGAACTACTGTTAACTATTATTTTATTTTTATTTTTTTGATAATGTTAACCATTAAATTTACATCACACAAAAGAAAAAACATAGAAATATCATGGATGAAGTATATAATCATATATGGAATATAATAAATTAATAATACAAATAAATTAATTTATTACTATAACAAAAATAATGCATTATATACTTTATAATACAAATAAATTAATAAATAAATTACAAGATTTGGTTATCAATGTATAATTATTATTTATAACTATGATTTAAAAAATATTAAAAAAACACTTCCATATCATAAGAAAAAAATAAAAATAAATTCCCTTATAAATTTCAATATTATGACATTACAAAAATATTCAAGAAAATATTTTTCACCTAAAAATAGAAACTAACAATGTCATAACTCAAAAAAACAAAATAAAAAGAAAAAAATTAAATTACATATCATATGTCATAGTATTTTACAAAGTACAAGATACTTCCATGTTAATTTCATACCCTAGCATTTATACTATACCCTAGTGTTTGTAAAATGCTTTGTATAAACATTAGTCGAAGAGTTCAATGGCGCTAAAATGTCATAGCATTTGTAAAATGCTTTGTATAAAATGCTTTATACAATGGCGCTACAATGTTTACCTTACTAAGAGTTCAACATTAGTCCCACATCATTGTCATTGAAGCCTCATTGCAGCTATAAAACGTAGAGAGCCAGTGATCGCTATCATATGATGCCCCGCGAGAGAGGCATGGAGTTGTGGATGTTACGTACGTGGCAAGACATGTGGAAGGTGGCTTGTTGTTGACACATGGCTACATTTTAATGTTAAGGAAACCATGAGAACCGGTCGAAAAGGCCGTGTCACTATAGCAACACGGTGAGAACCGGCTGAAATCGCCGAGTTATTGTTACGAATTGGCGGTTCTCCTCTACACACGCTTAATTTCCGGTACAAAATGAGAATCGGCATGGGATAACCGATTCCCGAGTCGAATCAGCCGGTTTCGTGCCGACTCTGCGATTTTTAAACCACTGATTTGACCTATAAGGTACCTATCCACTTCTAAATTGTATTTATGTGTTTTAGATGTCTGTGAAACTCCAGAAATACGGCAAATTTTGGATATTTCATAATTTTAAAATATTTTTATTTGCTTAAAAACAGCAAAAGGGCATTTTGGGAATTTTAAAATTTTGAGGGTAATTTGGAAATTTACAAATTGGTGTGGGACCCACGTGGAGGGGCTAAGGGCCCAGCCACATACATGTGGGCTCCACATGGGATGTCACATGGGGCCCACCAAGCCACACATCCCTCATTATGAGATGCCCCAAATATTTATGGCACATGTTTTTAAATAAATATTTTTAATAATGAAAAAACAAATTGTGAAAGCTGACCTTCAATAGTAAAAATATTATGGTTGAAATTATTTCTTTCAAGAATATTTTCTAAAAGATTTAAGGGGATCAAGATTTTGATCATAATTTTATTTTCAAATTATCCCTATGTGAGATAATAGGAAATCTGGAATATTCTGGATTACTCTGGAATGTTCTAAAAGATAAGATTATGACAAAATCTTGATTATTTTAAAAGTGGATATGAGTCAAGTATCAGGGGATAAGGTTTCTAAGTATTTACTCTAGATCATGATGGCTAATCTTGGAGATGAATGGCTCAGATTAAATCTTCTCTCTCACCTCATAGATCACCTAATAATCCTAGATAATGTTGAACTCCTAATCTGACTCGGACACCCTAGGCCCTAGATTCCTATAAATAAGGGGGGTCTCCCTCATACATCAGTTTTTCTCCCCTCTCTCTCTCTCTCCACACCATTCTCATATCTGTCTCTCTCTAGCTTCTCTCTCTTTCCTCTCTAGAAGGTGGCACGCCACCCGCCAGCTGGTATGGCATGCACCTCAAAGAGAAGTCAAGGAGGGGGGCATGCCCAGTCCTCTTGTTTTAGTTTTGGGGATGTGGCCCCTTGGCATACCCAACGTAAAAAAACGGTTCTTAGTGGAACCCTAATTGTCACCCTAGCTCTCTCGCCCCATAAGTTTAGAGGAGTCTCAAAGGTGCTTCTTAGTTTCAAATTGGTGGATTCATCAGGTTCTAGGATCCAATGCGTCATCGGTCAGGTGATCGGGTATAGGATGTGCTAAGTCCTAAGGGTAACCTTAGCCAAAAGTTAGTCTTCCAATATTTATTTAATTTTAGTTATTCTTGTTCTTGGTTATTTACTTCTTAAAGTTTTTAAGTTTTGAGAATAGGGTTGGGGTCGTGGTGATAGTACCATCGTGCCCCAGTTGAAGGTCACAGTCTCCATTCTCATAACACATTCAAAGATCTAACTATTTCCAAAAATAGGTAGGGGCCTATATTGCCCATTGATTACCTAAAAAAAAGTTGTTAAGTTTTATTAAGTTTGAATAAAGTTTATTTCTAGCTGAAAGTTATTAAGATCCAAGATTGTAGTAGGCCTCTTTTATTGAGATTAGGGCACCTGTAAATAAAATTTCCAGCAATTAATAAAAGAAAAGAAAGATTTCTTTTTTTTAATTTACGACTTGGAATTCTACATTGCCACTTCTTTCAAACACCAAGTCAGGTGACTGCCCCAATTGAAAGGTTATAAATTCTTTGTAGAGTACCAAAAGAGGGAAACCAAGATAAGTTTTTTCTAACATTTTCAGCAACCCTAAGAACAAGTAAAAACATTAAGCTATTGCAAAATTACTACGTAAGGAGTAATTAGCACAAGATGTCCATGTTAGGCCCAGGCAGCTCCTAGAGGCTAGGCGAGGCGATAGGTGCCTTGTGGAGCAAGCCAGCCCTGGGCAAGTGCCAAGAGCCCAACTTAGCCCAAAAGCCTTTTCTTTATGAAAACGAATTCAAAAATCTCATTTTGCTGAAATTTATTCAAGATTGAGAAAAAAAAAAAAAATTGAGAAATCAAATAAAGTCTAAATGTCTAAGAGTTTTGGATTTGTTTCTTTGTCAAATATCAAGAGAGGTTACAAGATGAGATTTTGGGTAAATCTAATCAATATGGTAAATAGGATTACTGAGCTTAATCATTTTTTGTTGAATTTCTTTATATTCAGATCTTCCAATATGTCATCTCCAATTCTTGTGGTAGTGGAGACCTGGGTAGGAATATGGTCATTGCTGGAATAAGCATGATCGAAATAAAGTTCATTGCACTTATTGCTGTCAAGGTACAATATGGGTTTATTAATAGATTTAGAAAACACCTTGCCAGTGTTAAGGGGGATGTTGCTCCGTTTAAAAAAGTTATGGCAGACAAGCAGAGTTGCAAAGGAGATAAATGAATGTATAGCTGCTGAAAAAAGAAAACGATTGCAGATGAGGAAAGCATGGCATAGTTGAAGATCGAGGCTAATATGTTTGGTGATGATGAAAATGATGAAGAAGGGGGAGACTGATGTCGATTCTTCTCGAGGTAGTAAGAGATGATCAATTCATATGAAGAGGTAAATGAATGTCTTATTTTTGCCTAACCACAAGGCTGCAATAAATGATAGGGAGAAAGTGGTCAAGGCAAACTATTAGTGAACACAGGTTTAAGAAGAAAACCAAGGCTGGGTATGTTAATATATAGCTCAGTGGATGCATCAGGCGGGCGTTGCTTGTAACGCTCTAGCCCAAAAAGCTTCCATAGAATGCTAGAGCCTATTGGCAAGGCCCCAACCCTTTATGAGCTTAGGGAGCCACTGCTAAAACAGGAGGTATAGGTTACAAAGGAGTACTTCATGACCCTCGGAAATGCACAGATGCAAAATGAGTTTACAATAATGACAAATTCATAGAGTCATAGGAGCAGAAGTGTAATAAATTTGACAGTGAATTTCCTTTAGGTATAACATTCCCAAGATCCTTGATGCTTCTACTGATTTTAAAATTAGTTAGACTAAGACAGAGTATATGAAGTACAAATTTAGTAAAACAATATGAGTAGAGACGAGGAGGTAGTTAAGATTGATGGCCATGAAGTACAAAAAAGACCACACTTTCGATATCTGGAGTCGATAATTCGAGAAAATGGAGAAATCGAGGAAGATGTCACACACAGAATTAAAGCTGGGTGGGGGAAGTGGAGATGTGCAACTTGAATCTTATGTGATCGCCGCATACCAATGAGGCTGAAGGGCAAGTTCTATAGGACAGCGGTGAGACCAGCTTTGCTTTATAAGGTGGAATCCTGGGCAGACAAAAAACAATATACCCATAGAATGAGTGTAGCAGAGATGAGAATATTGAGATGGATGAGTGGCAAGACAAGAAGGGATAGAATTCACAATGAATCTATTTGAGAGAATTTAGGTGTGGCACCAATAGGCGATAAAATGAAAGAGAGTAGACTTAAGTGGGCTGGCCATGTGTGGCACCGACCAAGTACAGTACCTGTTAAGAGATGCAAATTAGTTCAAGTGAAACGACTGAAAAGGGCAAGGGATAGGCCCAAAAGGACGTGGTTGGAAGTAGTCCAAAAAGATATGGGGACTTATGGCCTCATTTGAGGATATGGCTTTTAATAGAGCAGATTCATGTAGCCAACTCCAATTAATTGGGACAAGGATAGAATGATGATGATGACATTATATCTTCTCTTTGATCAAATAGGGCATTAAGGAGGTTGGAGAAGACCATGTTATATAAGTGGTCATCACATACATGGTTGTAGCCAATTGCCCACTGCCACTGTAATGAGCCAACAGCGGCCTTTCGTATTGTTAAATGACATGTGCAACACTCTGTATAAACCTCGTGCTGGACTTAGCATGATGCACAAAATCACCAAGAAGAAGGAGATATAAATCCCAATATTTACCGCCCCTTTCCTAACTCCACAGAGCATAATGGTTTGGAGAAACAATTGCGAGCTACGTCAGAGGATTTATTAATTGCAAGTGATATCCAAGCATCCTCGAGAGAAGAGGATATGTTATATTGTTTTGTCAGTATATTTAGAGTGGAATAGCATACTCACTTAAGGTAATCGGACCCTTGTTCAGAGTATTGTGCTTCATGGATAGTGAGGTGAAGTATACTATGGGCAATATACATGACACATAAGCCAAAGCACTGACGAATGCGTAAAGCACGTATAGCCAATATGGGAGATTGTAGAGTGTAGACACCAACTAGGATCAGCAGCTTCATCAGCTCTTGCATGCAGCTGGGTACTGTTTGAAACCAAAATTTATGCAAAATTGGATATTAGGATGAATGATGCAATTATGTGTAGCATCGATGAATGTATTGAGAGGCTCCAACTCGATGCCAATATCCAAGATAAGATATCTGACTTTATACAAGTGTGTATTTACGACTGTTTCGCAGGACATGGCTTTGAGACGAAGGTTAAATCCAATCCGGGCAGTCCTGATTTCATGCTTAGTTACTCATAAATATCGGCACTTTATGTATTATATTTATATGTAAATTTCAACATTCATATAACTTTGATAACTCATAAATTCCAACGCTTTACATATTATACTAATTATATAATTCAATATTCATAACTTCATATGTTGTATGCAATATTTTATTAGTTACATACTTACAAGTTAATATAAAACAATGCAGGCCAATGATGGAGCCAACATAGGAATAGTGCCTCCAACTTACAATAGCTGGTCATCCACATATTCAACTCGACATGTGACTCATCAGGTTGGAAGTGCTCTTCGAGTTCATTTGAGATGGTAATTCATATTTCCAAAATTTATTAATTAGAGGCTAAAGGAGAACTTTAGTAAGTTTACTAAGATGTTCCCATTGCTGCAAAGAATATAGATGAGACTAATGACTTGTTGGTTGATCCTTATGCATAAGAGGTCTTCCCTAAAGAGGGTGTTACTTGGGATGTGGTTGAGGAGGCCTCAACGTTGGCTGCTAACCCTAGGAAGACTGCTAGATCAACTATTGCGCCTAGACAGAATGGGGGAAGGGGGGATAGAAGAGGAGGAGCAATAAGAGGCCAATTCAGAAGAAACTGAGGAGGAGGGGTATTATGTTGAGGAGGATGATGGCTTACAATCAAATGAAAGTGTTGGGCTCAAAGGCAGTAAAGAATATAAAGATTAAAGATGTCGCACTACTTTCATTTTGAGTATTACTTGTTATGTATCAGTTCTCTACATTGTAGGATGTGTACTTATATAATTTGAGTTTATGGCCTCAAACATGAGCCATTAGCCATGGGGAATTCGGAATGATATTATCTTGGTAGTTGTGTCACATTCATGAAATGTCATTCAACAATTACCTAGTTACTCTCAAATTTTGACTTTTTCCTATCATTTAGATTATTTATGTTCAATTGAGTCTACATATACCTTTTATAAACATATTTTTAATTACATGCATTATATGTCCAATAATGCATTTGTATAACTTGTCCCATATATAATTATATATGTGAGGTTGGGGTCTAGCATCAACGAGCACACTATTGGATAGAAACCCACTCGTGCAAGAATTCCACCAATCATTTACACTCCAAAAACACATTTGACGTAACAGTACTTCTGAGCAGCATAGATCCTCTATAGTTCAAGCTCAAAATTGATATGCACTAACAAACACAAAACTTGATGTGGACTGAAGCCTACGCTTCAGGTGTACTTTGAACTAATGTGCTTCATGTGCTTCCTATACAAAGTTGTTTAGACTGTCTCATATAGCACAAGTTGCACAACATTAAGCTTTCCTTCATAATTTTATAAGTTTCTGGTTTCTCGTACCAATAGTTCAATAGTGTTACAACTTGCGCTAGAATGCGCCTGGTTACCGTGACAAATGCACAAAGCCAACAAAAAATAAACAAAAAAAGGACAAAGTTTCTAAAAATTTACAAGCATGAATCCTGGCATTTCACCAGAAAGCCTCGAGAAACCATTCGCAACCCGAAATGGGCTCCATTCCCATCAGTTCCCAAGTTAACATTCACCCAAGAGAAAAACACATTCCAACCCATCAAACACGTAAAAACATAGAAATTAGATGCCAATAACCTTAAAATACTGAAACTGCAGAAAACTGAAATACCTTCTTGAGAGGCGACTAGCTGTAGGGTTTCCTTTGCTACAGAGATAACCTCGGGACCAATCCCATCACCCGGAATAAGAGTGATCTTGTAAGACTTTGGAGTAGATTGAGAAGCAACGGAGCACATAAACCTGCTGTAATTTCTTCTAGGGTTATGGTAAGGGTTTCTTGATGATTTATATGGTTTGAAGAGAATTTGCAGGGTAGATGCAGCCGCCATATTCCAGATCTCTGAAACTGAAGGTGTAGGGTGAGCCAAAATGATTTAAGGTAACGTTTTATACGTGGATTTTTTGCACGTGCGAATCTGGTGATTTGCTTTCCCGCTTTTTGTCAATTCTGTTTGAATGAACAGTGCAGGTGCGCAGTCTATTTCGATCGAACGGATGAAAAATGAAGTCACATACTGTGTGGAGTCAATTACAATGCTTACCCTTATTTTGCAGGGGCTACTTGACAAGTCAAAAATAAATGGCAAATGAGCGCGCACAAGTGGTACGGTGGGACAAAATATACCCCTTTGGTCTCAAATTGTATATCTGGTACCACGGCTCAAACAATTATTTAAATGAATTCTTGATAGAAATTTATTTGGGAAAATTACATAAATATTTTTTATATTTTTTTTATTATGAAAATATCTCAAATTTTTTGTTATTACACTTATGTTCATTTTTTCAACTTCATAACATTTTGTATAAAAAAAAAAAGACGAAACTCTCTATTTTTGGTTTTTAAAAATCGATATTTTTTTAATTTTTGGTATTTCAAACGGTTTTTGAAAAATCTAATCTCAAAAATTAAATTTTTTAAATATCAATATTATGTATACCTAAATATTTGCATTTGGGGTTAAATTAGCTTTTTGGTCGTCATGCATGCATCTACACTTGTACGTCAAGGGTTCGAGTCCTCCCATACATAATCTAATTTTTTAATAGAAATGGATGTTTTTATTTTATTAAAAAGCAAAAAAAAAAAAAGCCCCATCAAAGAATGGACATGGCTTTTCGGTAAAATGGACTTTTTTATTTTATTAAAAAACAAAAAAAAATGCCCAGCATGGAATGGGCGTGGCTTTTCGGTGATCATGCAAGGTTTCAAGTCCTGCTATACACAATCTAATTTTTTTCAATAAAAATAGATGTTTTGTTTTATTAAAAAAAATTAAAATAAAAATAGATATTTTATTTTATTAAAAAAAGAAAACCATCATGAAATTGGTAGGATTTAATACCAAAACCTCTTGAAAAAAAACATATAATTTAACCAATACACTATTTGAGTAATAATAATAATAAATACGTATCATATTATATATATATATATATATATATATATATATACCTTTCTTTTTTTATTTTTTTTAACATGCCAAGTTACAAGCAGTAAAATTCGGTTTTTCAAAAACCAAAAATGGGCAGTTTCATCTTTTTTTTATAAATAAAATGTTATGAAGCTGAACAAACGAATATCTGGGTAATAACATAAAGTTTTAAATATTTTCATAATAACGGGAAAAATAATGGATATTTGTATAATTTTTCCAATTTACTATCATGGCCCCCGAATTATCCATTATGCATATACTTACCACAAATTTAGCATTTTAGGTTCATATCATTTTTTTTTTCCATAATGACATCTTCAAGGTCTGAAATCAAGTTAAAAGTCTTCACTACGGTTTGAAGATCCAAAGCCAAAAAAATTTCGATCAGAAGCCAAGAATTTTATTATAGCTTTGGACTTTCTTGACTTTAAACTTTGAAGATCCAAAGTAAAATCTTATACGTATTGACTTTATATATTTAAAGTCATCGACTTTATATATTAAAAGTCCAAAATCGAGATTCAAATTCACTTGAAGGTCTAAAGTTAAGGTAAAAGAAATGTTCATGACTTTGATCCGATTTGTTCTCACTTGGAAAGTAAGAGTATATTGGGAAAAAAAATGTGGGAGACGACGGATATGATTTAAATATAAAATTTGGGTGAAAACTGTAATAACGGATATTTAGGAAATATGAGTATGAATTTGACAATTTTTAATGACATGAATTTTCAAATATCTTCGATCCACCATGTAAACATTTCTAAAAAATAAAAGGATTATGTGCTCAAAATTTCACACATCAGGTCCATCAACATGGTCAGTCTAGATTCACCTTGGAGGAATTTATTTGAATATTTTGTACACCTCTAAACTCAATTATTTTAGGAATAAATGATAGATTATATGGACCATGGACCACCGCCTAATCTTTTCCAATAACTAAGAGGTTTGTACATGATGCTAGCAATTGGGTTTCATACAGCATTTTGACACCTCTCCAACCGTCCACTAGTGCTAATTTTGATAGATCTTGAGCCAAAACAGCAGAATCGAACCATCCATATTCGATGTATAACTTTTGAGGGTGTGCTAGAATTTTTGATAAACTCGTATCCTAGCAAAAAAAAGAAAAATTAATGAGTAATGTTTACCTAGGGTAAATAAATGAATGCGCAATGTTCTAAATTATGCAAGGTTAGTCCTCCCATGAAATGCAATACTCTAGAAGGTAAAAACAAAAAGGGTGTGGTTTATATAAAGCTGAAGCCCTGATCAATCAAAGTATGGTGGACTTTATGTCAAAACATCATGTTACGGTATTAGTAATATTTGAGATGGCCTAAAAATTTATTTTTATTTATAATTATAAAATTTAAAATTTTGAAAATAATGTAGATCGAGTGAGTCTGTAAACACTTGAAAATCTTAAAAATTAACAGTCTAGAGTTGAAATCTATGGTTTATCATGTCCATACATCTTAAGGTTGAGATGATTGAGTTGAAGGCTTTTGACATCAAAATAACCTCTTTTAGTGAATTTTTGAGGTGCGCCTTAATTTTATTGTTTAGGTCTCACCCTTATATAAACTATTTCCAAATAAAAACCACCCGATGTTTACATATAAAAAGGAATAAGTTTATATAACTTGTCAAACTTATTCTATAGAGATGTATGACTATGACAAAAAACAATGAATTGCATGTTTTAAAAATAGTGTCTTTTAATGCATTATATGAATCATCTATTTTCAAAAAAATTAAGTGCTTATAGATATGATTGATATACTAAATAGAGAAACGAGTGAGTTTTCAGTGACAATAGGTCTACATCAGGGGCTAAGATTGAGCCCATACCTATTTGTTTTGGTTATTGACGACTTAACTAGGCACCTGCAATATGAGGTACTGCAGTGCATGTTGTTTGCAAATAATATAGATTTTATGTGATCATTGTATGCCAATGAAGCTGAAGGGCAAGTTCTATAGGTCAATTGTGAGACCAACTTTGCTCTATGTCGCATAATGTTGAGCAATCAAAAAACTAATATACCCATATAATGAGTGTAGTGGATATGATGATGTTGAAATAGATGAGTGACAAAACAAGAAGGGATACAATTTGAAATGATTACATTTTAGATATTTTAGGTATGGCACTAATAAGCGATAAGATGAGAGAGAATAGATTTAGGTAAGCTGACTACGTGTGGCGCAAATCTAGTACAACATATATTAGGAGATGCGAGCTAGTTCAAGTGGAAGGTTAAAAAAATGCAAGGTATAGGCCCAAAAGGTAAAGATTGGAACTAGTGAGAAACGATTGGGGGCTTTATGGGCACACTGAGGGTATAGTCGTTAACAGAGCATAATTGTGGATCAGTATCTATGTATACAACCCCAATTAGTTGGGAAAAAGATTTGACGATGATGATGCTAGATACATATTTAGAGCGGTTTATACCATTTTTAAAGCTTTAAATTTAATAATTGGATGTGAAAATATATATTTAGAGACATTTAAACTGCATCTTTTTACAAGATTTAGAGGTGTATACCATTTTTAAAGCTTTAAATTTAATAATTGGAGGTGAAAATATATATTTAGAGACATTTAAACTGCATCTTTTCGCAAGATTTAGAGGTCTAACTTTGGTTGTTTAAGCTTGACACCTTATACAAACCACACATATATAAAATCGTGGATAATAGCGTATGGATAATATTTGGTATATTTTTTGGCTCTTTTTTTTTTTAAAAGAAAGGTATTATGGTGAGTCCACGTACTTATAGAGCAACATTGATTTTCAAGAATTTCGAGACTCGAAATGCATCCCAACAACTTACTAAATATCCATTTCTCCCCTTGAATCCGTGAACTTGGAGCTCCAAAAGTAATGCAAGTGTGATAATCCCTGAAAATTTGAAATGAAATGGTAAAAAAAAACAAACACAACCATTATCAATGCCAAAAATTCATTATTTTTGGACTCGCGATTTGTGACAGTCAAGATGGTAGAACTATAAAATTTATAATAAAAAATCTATCTCCAATATTGATTTTAGAAGCACGGTCTCACTGAGATTGAGGAATATGTCGCACATAGAATTAGAGGTGGGCGAAGTGGAGATGCGCAATTGGAATTTTATGTCATTGCCGTATACCAATGAAGTTAAAAGATAAGTTCTATAAGATGTGGAAATTATAGAAACATGCAATTGTTTTTTGGTACAATATTTTCCTTCATTTTATGTGTACCCCATATTACTTGATCATTGTTAATGATTGAGTTTTCCGTTACTCAATCTTGTGTGATGATTGAGTTTTTTTTGTTACTCGATTTTGTTTGTTTTTTAGGCATATTAATTTGATGTTATGCATGCGTCAGTTTCTGGTGATCGTTAATTTGCAGTTGCTCAAGCTTCTTTTGTTCATTCATTGTTTTTAAGGCTTGCCTCAAGTTGTTCAAACTCGAGTTGCTCGGGAAGTGTGAAAATTATAGAAACGTGCATTTATTTTGGGTACAGTATTTTCATTCCTTTTATGTATACCCCATATTAAGAAGGTGGTTCATTGTATGTTACTTTATTTAGTAGTTAGCAATTTTTGTAACCCTGTAAATTTGGGTTCTTTATTACATCTTCAATAAGCTATGTAATACATATTCCTGGGGGCTTAAGGCTCAAATATACAAATACAAGTTTTCTCACATAAGACAACTGTGAGACCAACTTTTCTCAATGCAGCGTAATGTTGGGCAGTCAAAAAAGAATATAGTCATAGAATGAGTGTAGCGGAAATAAGGATGTTGAGATAGATAAGTGGCAATATAAGAAGGGACATAATTCAAAACGACTACATTCAAGAAAATTCAGGTGCACTACCAATAGGCGATAAGGATGAGAGATAGTA